AGCCCTGTGACGAAGTAGTGACGACACAATTCCAAAGAATGCGCTGCTGCACAAATCGACTTGTGTGCATGGGGAAATATGCATGAAAAGCAGCAGGGGCCGTCTACTGCTGCATCCCCCCACCGTCCTTATGATAGATCGATCACGAGCACAGGGCAAGAGCCGACCCTCTGCCAGTGTGACCCTCCTTCATTCCTGGAGGCCAGCCACCCAGCGACTCATTCTGTGCGCCCTCCTTGCACTCCAACGCCCATTGTACAACCCACCGTATGCGTTCCTCTCTATCATGCAAATTCACATGGCATGGCCACAACCCGCCCAGCCTCATCGCCTGAACCTTGCCACCACAAGATGGGCACTAGCCAGCTGCCTGGTGCTATTTAGCACTGGGGGAAAGAGTCATTGTTCGCCTTGCACAAGTACTGCCCAAGTAGGACATTGGCATGAACAGTGCATATCACCATATGCTTCTAAAACAATCCTATCCTGCACCAGCAGTGGATTTTGTGTGAAGGCTCTGTGCATCACTACCCAGCTCCTCATCCATGAGCTTATAACTGGCAGATCGAAGTGAAGGATCTTGTCCAAGGAAGGCGAGTGGGTGCTGCTCATTCCCCCATACATCTGCACATCCGGTCTGTTGTTATTGCAATATGTTGTGATGGGCCCTTGCTGTGTTGTAGTCCCACAGCCACCCTCAGCCAGTGCGCTGGGCTCCATGCCCCTTTCCAGGTGCTGCTCCTTGCCCACTGCACTGGATCGCAGAATGCCAGGTCCATCGCCACCAGGCCCCGCTCTTTGTTACAGCCAACAGGCCAGTAAAATGCTGGGGTACTGCGGGGGCATCCAGATGCATAGTGGACTGCACTGTGGCTCCTTGAACGCAGGTGGGCCTTTCCTTCATGAGCAGCATGAAGGGTTTGCTCATACTATGTCTCAGTTGTTTCTTCGCGTTGTGTCTCCAGTCGGAGCTTGTCAAGTGTTCATCGCACAATGCTGATACTGTAGGATGGCTGGTGGCTTGGGGCATCAACACCTTGCCATCAGAATTGCACATCGGATCGGTGTTCCACAAGGTATTGAATACCTGGCCTGTGCACTCATATATTTTACAATAACAGGGTGGTACCATGGGAACGAATTGCACCATGCACAGGAAGTGGCAAGGGCAAACAATACCCCACGGGCAAGGACGCACTGGGCGAGACTGCTGCTTAAGTTCTAGGGCAATGTATAGCATAAGGCACTGGGCAAATGTGTCAATGCCTGCATTGCTCAAGCACTTGACAACGGCACATTTGCGTAAATGGTTGTTGCTGGGAATTCTTCAAGTGTCACTGTATGGTGCCATCCGATGGTGCGACATGCTGCTGTCCCCATGTACTGATCAATACATTGACCTTGCATGAACGATCTGACCAAGCAGAACACAAGACCAGAGAGGAATCGCTGGCCTCTGTTATTTCTTTCTGATGCAGATCCCTAAAGGGAAGTGCTTGACACAGTGCATGGCTGGATTGGAGTATTCCAGAACAAACAGGAAACATGGATGGCAACAGTATGCTGCACTGGAGTGCTGTTTCACTGGAGAACCACAGACTCACCTATCACACCCATCCAGCAACAGCATGTTAAACCTGGCCTTCGGCTTTGTCGACCTGCCGTGGGTAACCAGAAACCCAATGTCAGATCGACCGCGTTTCCCTCTGTAAAAATATCTGTAGAGTCATCCAAACAGCAACACTGTACACATGTACTGCATGCTTTTTGACAACACGTGTAATATCAGCACACCCTGCAGTAATGGGTGTTGCATTTCAGGCAGTCCCCTCCCTACCAGGAACAACTATGTGGTGAAACTCAGGAACCTGTGCTGCATCGCGACTATTAGCAGTACTCATCCCTCATGCTCACCCATTGATGGGTTTGCCCAACGGCCATCCAGGCACATAAGTCTCCAAACTGACAAGGGCCACAACCACCTTGAGCTTTGACAGAAAGTGGACTCCGGACTAAGGGAGTGGGTAGGGGTGTGTAGTTGGCTCACTACAGCAGCAATTGACAACATTCTTATTGTCCTTGTGCGCTGGGTCAGAGTGAACTAAACTGTGCCGGGCGCTCTGGTGTTGCCTTGCCACGTGGGGAGCCGTCCATCCGGGTCCTGGCGATGAGGGACCTCTCACTTTCACGCTTTCGATAAGATGCCCAGGTGTTGGTACCCACGGCTTTTGGCAGCTCAGGCCTCCATGCTGCCCTGGCGTGTCTAGCCGATGAACACGAGCCCCGTCAGAACCTAAGGGTGGACAAGCGAGGGCGCGACGCAACGCCTGCCGTTCTGAGCGTCCTGACCGGCAGCGATGGGTCCACATCACTCGCCCTGGGGGCTCTCGAATCACTCACCTAGCTGCCGGGGCCTCCAGCGGGAGTGTCAGCGCCCCGCCGACCCAATCCCCGGCATCCGTTGAAGCCGTCCTCGAAAGATATCGCCTGGCATCTCCAGAGCAGCTCGCCTTCTCGCGCAATCGCCCTCCAGCCGCTCCGTCCCCGCACTCAATGGCGCCATCGACCGCGCGTTGAGCAGACGCATTAACCCAGTCGCGTTGACCCTTGCGTCGTCCCGTGTTGCCCGACGATGACCCCAGGGGCAGTCAGCGGCCGAGCGACGGCGGGGACGGCAGTCACCCACGCCACACCGCAGGGCTCCCAACGGCCACCGAAACCATACCAGGGGTGTCCCTGTTTGAAAGGCAGCGAACACACGGCCTTGGACATCGTCCAAACGCGGCTCCACCGCACCGCGCACAAGACAGCGGTGGGGGAACGAGGGGTTCGCAAATTCCCCGTTCGCAAATTTCTTTTGCCCATTTCCGCCACAATTAGGCGGACCTTACCCTCCTTCGAGGCGGCTTCTGCCAATCTGGCACCATTTACCACGGATTAATGGTGGGTCATGGGTCAGCGAGGGCGCGCGGTCGCCCCCGCGGGAGTCGGCAGTGAGCCAGGAACAATAATTACAGTCGGACACTTCGCCCCCTGCATCCAAATACCGTCCGACCGTCACACCTCCAAGTGTGCTAGTACATAAAGACACGAACACAATGCACTATACAAAACGGGCCTCCGGTCACCACCAAAACAGCTCCACAACTCCCCGTACTCGGCCCCCATTATCCAGGCTGCAGTACAATGCTCTGCACCTTCAAGTCACCCATACATCCACATATTTAGACAACAAAGGCCAAGAGGTAAAATAATCCATTATACTATAAATATGGAGCTGTACACCATTATCTAAAGATAATGAGAGAAAGAATTGGTCCATTGCGCCTACCCCAAGTGTTTCCACTACACATGGTAAGCCTGGCGTGTCCAGTCGCTGTCCCGGGGTGTTTCCAGCTGCGGGGCACCTCTCCTGAGCTGCTCGCTCCGCTCCTAGGGCAAGGCATGTCTCCTATTCCTCCGTTACATCCTCGGTAGTTCAGTCCGTCGTCCGGGCATTCGCCAGTGGCCAGGTCAAAGCACCGTTGGGATCGCCATCGCATTATGAGCGGCTATCTCTGTTTATCACGGTTGCCGGTTCATCCTTCCAAGGGCAGTTGGCCTCTCCATAACTTCTCTTTCAGCGCCTCATAGGCATCACACACCCTCAGTACTGTCATTCCGTCTTTGCACGGTCAGAGCACATTTCATAGTCTACATGATCAACCATCAAGCATTCCAGTGTCTATGGACTCCCCATAATCAGGTGCTGCTAATGTCAAGGTACGCGGTTCCAGCGGGGTACTCAGAAAATCGCCACACCTCGCCCGCGCGAGGACAAGATGGAGTAATTTCATGCCGGCGACACCCTTACGTCCCGCCACCGCCTGTTCCCACTTCCACCGCTTTTGTTCGGCTGCCGGCTCGTCGGCCCGTCGCAGTCCGCGAGGCTGCCGGCTCGCGCCATGGGTTAAGGCTTTTCATCGGCCGCACAAGAGGGCCTCCTGGTGCCCCTGCTGCAGGGGACGACCTCATTTACAACGCACCGCGCTCTGACCTGAACATCGGCCCCGGCAAGGGCGACCGCATCACTCGTCACCGAGCCGCACAGCGGTGTCCCTGGATTCCGCTTCTTTCGGGCAGCAGACCGCTGGAGCAGCAGCAAGAGGTGAGACTTTGAAGTTTTGTGTCCGAGGCGTCCATCCACTTCCGCGGATCGCGTGCGGTACCCTGTCGATGCCAAGTCAGCGGTCACGCCTGGACTGCATTCGCTGCTGTCCAGCGGACAGGGGCGGACGGATGCATCTAGGTGCGCCAGGTCTGCCATCGACGATCCTGTTAACTTGGGCGAGGCTTGGGTTCGTTGGGTCGGCTGTGGGATGGCAGCCCATGGGCGGATTCGGCCGCTTCTTGGAACGACGGGTTTGCTCTGATCGTGTCGGAATATGTGGGCGCCCCAAACGAAGTTGTCGCAGTCGTCGCACACGCCTGCACGCTCCGCAGAGCAGTAAGAAGTGAGTTCTTTTGGATCCAGAAGGGACGCGGCTTGAAGTGGACGGGCGTCGTCTGCCTGTTCTTGTCCACCGAGGGCTGTTTCATGTATTGCTTGTCAGGGGGGTACCGTTTGCAGCGCAAGGTGCCGCTCTAGCCGCGCCTAGAGGAACCGGATGCGGTGTGACTATCCGTTGGCGAGTGCAAGGGCAGCGGCAACGGGATGAGCCACGGATACGCCTTGGCCAGTGTCGGACCTCCATTTCGGTGCTGATGTCTTGCGCACTTGCTGCACCGTAACTGAAACGCCTCTTGTTTGTGGGACGCAAGGCCAGTCGCCTCAAACCGGATCCTCTCCTGCGTTGGAATTCGCTTTTTATGCCAGCATTCATAGACCCTAAGCAAATGCGCCAGCTCTGCTCTTCTCTTCTTCACGTGCCGACTCGCAAGAATGGCGCTGGCTGCGTCGCACTCAAGGTGTTGTGTGTAATTTCAGGTTGATTGGTCGAGACTGGAAGACAGTACTGAAGATGGGCAGGAATCGAAAAAAGGGTCAGGAAAAGGGGAAAAAAAAGAAAAGGAAATCGGATCGAGACTGTCTCCCACAGGTATGCTTCTGGGAAGGGTGATTGGGTGCCGATTGCATGGAAAATGCGGTTGTTTGCAACATTCTTATGTGGCCAACTATGTGACTGTGTGCGGCCAATTGTGAGGCTTTGCCGATTGACATACAGTTTCTTTGTATGGTAGGGGCAGCTGTTGGTGTACAGGAGACATACAACAGTTTATTGCTACTGTCCGCTGGGCTACAAAGTGTACATTTGCATGTTATTGCAATGTGCTGTCGGCTGGAAATTATGCATGTCACCCTTGGCGCATTGTAAAGAGATCCTGTCACAGGAAACACTGATAGAAGAGATCGTGGCATGAACTGTAGTTGAATGAATGGCTGAATGTGTCTTTCAAGGCAGCGTTAATAACAACACGCTGGTTATGTAAGATGCCATACTGAACACAAATCGTGAGACAGCATCAGCTTTCTTATGGCCTACACATTGGCTTGCAATATTTGGCAAAACACCCCAAACACCATATCATCAGAACATACAAATATGCTGCATGAGAAGTAGTAAATCACCCTCAAGAACCCCCAATGTTTCCTCATGCCCATCGATAACCTTGATTCATCCCGACAACCTGCGGACGCCTCAGTCAAAACGCCTGGCAGCCAGGGTGAACTGACCAATGCAAGCCCCTAGAACCCTGGCAAACCAGCCTTATTCACTGTGGTGCCATGCCTCTCAACAATACTGTACCACCCACTCCTGGGCCAGACTTCTGCAATCCCACAACATATGTCTCACACCCAACACCAGGACTGTACCTCTCACTCATTCTAACCCCACGGCATCCCAAAGCTCACTGCTTGGAAATGCTCCGGTAGCAGTCTGGCCACCAAGGTGACATTAAACTGGCTTCTATTTGATGCATTCTTGGACCTGCGGTGCTTGCCGATGCTCAGAAGCACCTCTCCAAGAGCTGCCCCTGTCTCTGAATGTCCCACTTGGTGTGCCGCTGGACCTTGAGTACCCTGCCTTGCGACCGAGACTAGTATATCACAGTTGTGCTTCAAGTGTGGCTCTGTCCGTCAAGCACTTTGCTCCCTGATTGGTTGCGCATCCCTTGGTGCACAGAACGCTGCAGGCAATTTCACTTACAATGTGGAGATGATGGAGATCCTCAAGGAGGAGCTGGCTGGCCTTCTCTCCGAAGAGTTAGACGAATTCGACAGGTATCGAAGTTGCAATTTCATCACAACGGCGAAGAGGCTGTTGGCTGTCCATTCACAGCCCTTTAATGTCAGGAACTTCTACTCACAGCGGGAAGTGCGGGATGAAATCCAGGTTTCTGTTACCTCAGGAGCACCGTTTCTCTACAAAGAATGATATCAACTGTGGTTCTTCCATTCAGACGATGATCCTTTGTGCAATATCCTTCAGCGTACATTTGAGAGTGTGGCAAAAGGAATTGATAGGCACCCGGTACCTGAAGAATATGCTGCCATCATACAACAGCTTGAAAGAGAAATGCAGGCTTGGAGAATCATTGACGACGATGAGGTGGTGTTGGGTGGTGTGTTATGTCGAGATGATTGGAATGTGGTTCACAAGGCCCAGTGGGATGATGAATTGGTGGCAGTCAGGTCCAGACGACTTCGGATGGGTCACAAGGAACAGCAATTGGTGTGCTTCATAAGGGAGGCAGCTGTTCATGCCTCCATTGCACATCCCAATGTTGTCCACCTGTATGGCATCACCCGGGTCCTGCAAGTTGATCATGGAACTGGCAGACGGCAACCTGTGGCAAATGTGTCAAGGAAAATCCCTGGAATGGCATGTCAAGCGGTCGCTCCTCCAGCAAGCGTCTGCAGGATTGACATATCTGCACTCCCTGGAAGAGCCTGTTGTGCATGGCTCTGTCAGCAGTCTCAGCTTTGTAACCTTTGGCACTGACCCGAACAGTTGCACTGTAAAACTGGCAGACTTTGGGTGTGCTGCAACCAATGAATATGTCAAATGTCGTTTTTCCAGAATTTCATATACCAACAAGTGTGGGACTGCCCTGAGAATGTTGTGACAACGAAATCAGACGTGTTCAGTATCGGGGTTGTAGCATACGAGGTCGTGTCTGGGAAAGCGCCATACAGTTGGCATGGTTTCTTGTCAAGCACTGAACTCCGCAGCCTGAAGACAGATCGCTGGGAAGAACCCTGTCCAGTGCGGCCCATTGACTGCCCCACTGAACTGCACAAACTCCTGAAGCGCTGCTGCAGTGCCGATCCATCCGAGCACCCAACGATGGAGATGGTCAACCAGTGCATGATGCAGCTGCCTAAGGAATGGAGCCAGCAGGTGGGTTTTGATGGCATGCCATAAGAAGTGTTGCTGATTGAAAATTGACCACCAGCAGATCATCCAACATATGGGCATCAGAGCTCCTCTGTAGCAATCCGCACCTTTTGCACGGGTTGTAGGTGTCGATGTGCTGATTCCTGCCTTTTACTCTTCTGTCAGGTGGATACAGAAGCTTTGTCAAGGCGAGCCAACAAAAGACTGAGACAGTCAAATGGCCATGTGGCCTTTCTATTGCAGTACAATAACAGATTGATGGAGTTTCTGGCACAGCAAATGGAAAAGGTGATAACGGTCATTCAGCGCATGCCAGAGGAACCAGCAACTGCACGTGAAGCCCAAGAGTGGAGGGTGTCTTGGTTCGACTTGGATGATGCTGTGTATATGGGGTGCAGCTTGATTAAACGGCATTCAAAGAAGTTCGACTTGCAGAATTTCTACGCAGTATCGGAAGCTGAGGAAGGTGTGCAAAAGGTGTGCAAAAAGCTGCAAACAGTTGTGGCCAGATGGAAGTTGGACATACAAATTGACACCATTGTGCCTGATGCTGCCATGACAGGGGACTACAGGTTTTTACATTCGTGCCTTTCTTTTCTTTTTCAAGAGGGAACCATTGACAAGTTACCCAAGAAGGCAAGGGTGGAAGATTGGTTGCGGGTCCAAAAACGCCTGGACGAGCAATTTTCCAGACTAAAGATGGTGAGCGAAAAAGAAATCGTGTTTGGTCAGCCCATTGAAAGTGGTCGGTCAGTTGTGTATCGCGCTCGATGGAATGAAATAGATGTTGCGGTGAAGAGGCTCCTGCTGCGGGGTGCACCAGATTTCAGCCCCCAGGAGTTTGTCAAGTTCTACACAGACGCTTTCATTCAGGCATCTCTGTCGCATCCCCACATCACTGAATTGGTTGCAGTGAGCAAGTCGGGACTGATAGTCATGGAGCTTGCCAGTTGCGACCTGGAAACCTTGTACAAGGAAGCTCACCTGGACTGGAGGACAAAATATAGGTTTCTAATCCAAGTGGCCGAGCCGCTGGAATACGTGCAAAGCCGGGATCCTCCTGTGGTACACTGTGACCTGAAGAGCCTCAACATTCTGATGTTTGGGGATAGGGAGAACCTGGAAAGCTGCGCTGCGCAATTGTCTGATTTTGGGATTTCAGTCGAGGACACGTCCACTGCATCAGTGACAGTGAGGCGTCCTGGGGGAACGCCCCACTGGATGGCGCCTGAGAACTACGACGAAGTTCACCCCTTTGAGGCTGCGGATGTGTTCAACTTCGGTGTGGTGATGTACGAAATCTTGTCCCAGACGCCACCCTTCGGAAGCAAAGGGACGTCTTGTGAACGTATATACATTATGAAGTGCGAAGGTCAGCCTGCCTGCAAGTTGCCTGACGACTGTCCATTCAATTTGAGGGAGCTGATGGAGAGATGCTGCTCTGTGGATCCCAGCAACCGGCCAACCATGCAGAAGGTGAAGAAGCTTCTCCGCAATGCAGCGAAAGCTTACGAGTGTGTGCATACATGTCTCGCTTCGGGCAAGTTCATTGGAACTCGGTCTGTTGTTTGGCAAGCTCGATCGGTCCCATCACAATGGAGTGGAAGGATGGGAGTCAAAGGCGCCTATTGCTGGCCGTTCCTGATAGGAACCCCCTGGACCTGATTAGTTTTTTGCTGGATGCATGCTTTCAAGCATCCTTGAGGCATCCCTTCATTGCAAGCTTGCTAGAGCAGAGCGGGTCAGAGCTGATGAGAAGGGGCTTTCCCTGCTGCGACTTGGAGACGTTGTGCAAAGAGGTCCATCTGGCATGGAGGACGAAGTACAGGTTTCTGCTGCAGGTGTCTGAGGCTCTTGATTGCATGCATAGCAGGGAGCCTCCAGTTTTGCATTGCGACGTGAGGAGCTCCAACATTCTGATTGTTGGGGACAGGAGCGACGTGGAAAAGTGCACTGCGAAGTTGTCCGACTTTGGGATTTCTGTCAGAGACACATCAACCACATTAGTGTCTGTGAGGTGTCCTGGATGGCGCCTGAGGTGCACGACGAAGTTCGCCACTCTGAAGCTGCAGACGTATTCAGCTTTGGCGTGCTCATGTACGAAATCGTGTCACAGGCATCGCCCTATGGTGGGAAAGGGACTCCTCGCGCAGCCATCTGCCATATGAAAAGAGAAGGTCAGCCTCCCTGCAGGTTGCCCAAGGACTGCCCATCGTGGTTGCAAATATTGATGGAGAGGTGTTGTTTGGTCAACCCCCGCCATCGGCCCACTATGGGGAATGTGGGGGAGATTCTGAGAGGACTGGCCTGGCGGCCAGCAAGATATTCTTGGAAAAAATAATGATGCGACTCGTTGAACATCTGTATGCCTGTGTGGTTGAAATGTGAATGCCACTCATCATCATCTTTGAAGGTGGATCACACTGTGTCATCAAATTTTATGCAACTGAAGGCTCCGTTTGCATCATGGCTGCACAAGAGAGCAATGCCTCTCCAGTGTGCCAAATTTTCCTTATTGAGCACTGTGAAGTGCATCTGGGCCGTTGGTGTTGCAGCACGTGGTCACATCCTACCATGGGATTGCCCAAAGCTGTGAGATGGTTCGTCCAGCTGCGTTGCTCGCTCCTCTACAACCAGGCATGCTTGCGGTTGTTGATGTCTGTCATCATGCGCTGTGCACACGTGTGGGTGCGCATGGCCTGCACGATTCTACTACATGCCTCTTGCCAAATGCTCTGTCAACGCTGCCTCAAAGGAAAGCCGACCTGACGACGCACGCTGGACACGCTGGACATCCCATCCGGCAGCCATGGTAGCTACAATCACCACACAGCGCCTGGGAACTCTTGCATTGCCCACCTGACCGTCAAGTGGGTGTTGGGCAATGGGGTGCCAGTGGCGCATCAACCATCAACGCTGGAATTCATGTGCCCATCTGCGCCATACCATGCATACCCAACTGTTCCTTTCAGTTCCTTGCAGTTCCCTTTGCGCAGTCAGTCGCGGCCTCTCCAAAAGCTGCATTTAATGGAGCAGGCCGTTGCATCGACCCGAACAAAGCTTGCCGACAAATTGACCCATCAACTGGCAACTCGTAGGCCAATCGGCGGCCGGGGTGACGATATTCTTCGCAGAGGGCTCGGAAAAGATGGTAACTCCTCCCACCCGTCTCAAATAGCAGCGCCCTGTCGCCTGGCACCTGCTACCAACATTTTTGGGGAAGGCGGGCAACCATTTATGACACCAAGCAGGGCATCGTGGCCTGCACCGCTTGGTTGCATGTGAGGTTGGAGTGTCTTAGGCCCTCACACAAGTGTCCTGCGACCCGCACCCAGTCGTTCCCAGCTCAAAAGCATGACTAATCTCCGCGTAAACCGATCCTGCGTTCTGCTGTCGGTCACAATCTGCCCAACGGTGCCCCGCGGCCCTGCCATGGTGATCACATAGTACTGCACCCACAGCAGGTTGTGTAGGTAGGAACCTTTGCAGCGGGGTCACCGTGCGGTGAGTGCAGGCCGTGCCGTGGGCAACGGCTGCTCCCAAAACGCGTCCGCGCGAAAGGCCACCGCAGGTTCCAAGTTCCACGCGGGCGTTGCGCCATCTCTCAAGAAAGCAAGGCCGCCACCAAGCAACGCTGAAAATCCGTCTGCTGCAAACAAAGCTGCTGCACCCGTTGCCCACACGTGGGAGTCCCTTGGCGTAAGGGTGAGAGGTTTGTTGTTCGCGGGGATCCCATCGGGACGCGTCTTGCTGTTCCGAAGCGGGTGTCGCCGGCGTGATCTTATCCAACGAGGATCGTTTCAAACAGATGCCCCTGTGCAGGGGATCCCGTTTGCCACGCAAGGGTCTGCTGGCCGCATCTGCAGCAGCATGATATGTTTACCGCCATCCCTTGACCAGCGCGAGGACTGGGTCAGTTGCGGGAGCCTCGGGGTAGCGACTCCATGGCTAGTGGCTGAAACCGTCAGCCTGATCTTGGGGATATTTTGAGAGCCAGTTGCACAGAGTACGAAGAGCGTTTGCCTACAGAGGCAAGGCCATTCACCTCAAGAGCTACGACCATGTTGTGCATCGTCGTTGGGTTTCTGTGCATTGCCATGCGCCAAGCCCATGGGCTGTCTCTGCTCTTTGCGTGCCCTTCTAAAGAAAGGTACCAGTTGGATTGCACTCAAGCACGTGTTGTGACATATTTTCAAGTTCTGTTTGCGGTGGCGATGTCAGGTAAGGCTGGCAGGCAGTGCTGTCCATGGCCAGGAATGGAAGCGAGAGTTGGAAAAAGAAAAAGGCGAATGGAGAATGTTCCCAAAGGTATGGCATGGAAGGATGTTTTGTTGCCATTGGCATGGAACACACATTTCATTTAAATGGCCACATTGTCAGTTCACCGATTGTGTGACTGTGAAGTACCAGTTTCTGGTGCACGGTGGACATACAGCTTGTTGTCACTCCTGCGCACAGGACATTGAACAGCACAGCTGCAAATTCATCACAACATCCTGTGGGCCACACAGTGTGAATTTGTGGAACAGTGCAGTGCCATGTGCAGTGCTATGTAGCTCTATAGCTGAGGATATAGGTGCAAGCTGTGTTTGAATCATGCAGAGGCAGCAGCGTTTTGTCGATTGATGCCTCTCACTGACAAAAGAGGTTGATGAGATGAGAAATGGTACAATCGATGATAAGAGATGCAGGTAGCATTGGGTCATTGTCACCGTCACCCTTGAAGGGTGGCGTTGTCTAATGGGCATTTGGTTTACGATTGGCTGTGCATGCATTTTTTACCCAGGATGCTGCATGCAGCTTCACGTACAATCAGGATATGATGGAGATTCTCAAGGAGGTGCTGGATATACTTCTTTCTGAAGTTTCAGACACTTTTGGCAGACAACACGATGCCATAGCAACAGTGGAGAGGCTGCTGGCTGCCCATTCACAGCCCTTCGATGTCAAGAATTTCTACTCACGACGCCAAGTTCGGGAGGAAATCAGTGCTCTTATGATGGGATCACCACATTTGTTCAGAGCACTGTACCTGCAGTGGTTTTGCCTAAATGGTGATGAACCTCTGTATGCTGTTATTCAGCACACTTTTACAAGTGTGGCCACTGGTGCTGACAGCAACTTGCTTCCTGAACAATATGCTCCCATCGTACAGCGCCTTGAAACTGAAATGCAGTCTTGGAGAATCATTGACGACGATGAGGTGGTGCTGGGTGATTGCATACACAGTGATTCTTTTGATATGGTGTACAATGCGCAGTGGGACGATGAAGTGGTGGCAGTTAAGTCAAGGTCATGGTGGGTTGACAAGGGGCACTCCCTGGCATGTTTCACAAGGGAGGCAGCTGTTCATGCCTCCTTGACACATCCTAATGTTGTGCAGCTGTACGGCATTACCCCTACTTGCAAGCTGGTCACGGAACTGCCCGATGGCAATCTGCGGCAAATGTGCCAAGGCAAAACCCTGGAATGGCGAGTCAAGCGGTCTCTCCTCCAGCAGGCCTCAGCAGGATTGATGTATCTGCACACTGCAGAGGAGCCTGTTGTGCATGGCTCAGTCAGCAGTCTGAACATTGTTACCTTTGGCACTGACCCTGACAGCTGCATTGTCAAGCTGGCAGACTTTGGGGGTTCTGCATCTGGTGAATATGCCAAAAAGCGCTTTGGGCGAATTGCAGTCACCAACAGCGAGTGGGAGTGCCCCGAGAACCTGGTCACAATGAAGTCAGACGTTTTCAGTTCTGGGGTTGTGGCATATGAGGTCGTATCTGGGAAGTTGCCATATGCTCGCAGTGGTTTCCAGCCTGACCCTGATCTCCACAGCCTGAAGACATGTCACTGGGAAGAGCCCTGCCCAGTCCGGCCCATCGACTGCCCCACAGAAATGCACCAACTCATGAAGCGCTGTTGCAGCATCGATCCCGCTGAGCGGCCAACGATGGAGGAGGTTAACCAATGCCTCATGGAGCTGCCCAAGGAATGGAGCCGGGAGGTATGGTTTTGGAAAACAATGGCATGGGGCATATTGCTGATTGAGAGTTAAGCACGAGAAATTCTGGTATGGCTGGATATCAGGCCTCCTGTTGGGTGGGAACTGCTGGTTATGCTAATGTGTTATTTTGCATAATCTGTCAGGTGAACACTAAGGATGTTGCAAGAGGAGTTTTTGTACTGTTGTGTGGGAAATGCTGCCGGTGCTCATCCCTGATTTTGCATGTGCTGTCAGGTGAACACCAAGGCTGTTGCTAGACGAGTCTGTAATAGCCTGAGACAGTCACGTGCACATGCGATGCGCCTGCGGTACAATCGCAATTTGATGCAGTTCTGGCGCAACAAATGGGAAAAGCGAAAGCCATTATGCGCCGCATGCCAGGGAAGCCAGCAGCTGCACGTGGAGCCCAGGAATGGAGAGTGTCTTGGTTTGAGTTGGATGATGCTGTGCGAATGGGGTGCACCTTGCTTCGACGACATTCAAAGGATTTCGACTTGCACAAGTTCTACACAGTAGAGCAAGCCCAGGAAGGCACGACTAGGGTGTGTGAAAAGCTGAGAGACATTGTGGTCAGGTGGAACCTGGGTGTACAAATTGACACCACTGTGCCAATTGCTGCCTTGGCAGAGGATGCAAGACTATTGCACTCCTTTTTAGCTTTCCTCTTTGAAGAGGGCACTGGCAGCGAGTTGCCTGCAAAGGCGATTGTGAGCGATTGGTTGCGTGCCAAAAAGCACGTGGCCACACGAATATCAAGACTGAAGATCGTGAGCGACGATGACATTGACATGGGGCAACCCGTTGAGAGCGGCCGATCTGTTGTGTGTCGGGCTCGATGGAAGGGAAGGGATGTGGCAGTGAAGAGGCTCAGGATGCGGGGTGCCCCTCATTTAAACCCTCAAGAATTCGCCAAGTTCTACAATGAGGCTTGCATTCAAGCATCTGTGCCACATCCTTACATTGCCAAATTGCTGGCAGTGAGCAAATCAGGGTTGATGGTGATGGAGCTTGCCTCTTGCAACCTGGAAACGTTGTACAAGGAGGCCCATTTGGACTGGAGGACAAAATACAGGTTTCTGCTGCAGGTTGCGAAGGCTCTGGAATTTATGCACAGTAGGGACCCTCCAGTAGTGCACTGCGACGTGAAGAGCCCCAACATTCTGGTTTTTGGGGACAAGGCTAACTTGGAAAATTGCACTGCAAAGCTATCAGACTTTGGGATATCAGTCCAGGACACTTCGACCGTGTCAGTGACGGTGAGGTGTCCAGGGGGCACGCCTCACTGGATGGCGCCGGAGACGTACGATGAAGTTCACCCCTCTATTGCAGCCGACGTGTTCAGCTTCGGAGTGGTTATGCACGAAGTCGTGTCGCAGATGCCACCATATGGAGGCAGAGGGGCTCCTTGCGCATCCATTCACCGCATGAAATGCGAAGGTCGGGCCCCCTGCAGGCTACCGAACGACTGCCCGCCCATTCTGAGGGAGTTAATGGAGAGGTGCTGTTCAGTCAACCCTTGCAATCGGCCTACCATGCGACAAGTGCAGGAAGTTCTGAACGATATATCTCCCAGTCAAATTCGGCGGTCGTCCCATTGTGGGGGCGATAGAGGAAATTTGAAGCGAGCTAGCGTCACGCGCCGTCCTCATTGGAGATGAGTAGGGTCTGTCTTGTTGCGCCATTTCTCAAGGACCACCCAGCCATGCCAGAAGGACAGACGGTGTGAGCGGTACTTGGGGATATTGTAGTGGGGAGGATTCTGGAGAAGTTCTGCGAGAATGCCTGCAAGAGTTCGCTTTGCAGAATAGTGGATGTGTGGACGTCTGCCTTGGTCTGGAGCTCAGGGCATAGTTCCTTGTGCTTTACCAGAATATGGAACGCAGGTCACTGAGTGGACGGTTAGCCCTTTTGAAGAGTTCAACACATGTATGTCTGTGGCTGAAGCTCACGTCTTCGGACAGCATGACCAAATCGTTATGAAGCAAGAGACAAAAACCCATGAAAGCCAGGACGTGACACTGGCACCAACACAGTTAATACAAAAACCGCACTGGCCGGGAAAAAGAGCCCCTGATTCGGGAGACGCAAACGCTAGACATAGGCGAGCACGAAGCATCGATGGTGAAGAAATAATACATTCCCTCACGATGTCGTGAGGTCGACGAAACGGCCCCAAGACACACTTTCAGAGAATGCACTGCTGTGCAGCTACAGAACAGTTGGTGCAGGGAAAAGCATGCCCACAACGAACCAAGGGGCCGTTCACTGCAAGCAGCTTCACAACCTCCCCCACGGTGGGTCGATAACAACAACGGGGCAAGCAGCATCCCTCATCAGCACTTCGAGGCCAAGGGGCCAGCGATTCACGGGGGTGCGGCACCCCAGCTCTTCACCACCCATTGCGGAAGAGTATTCACACCCTATGGCCACCAGCAACTTAGCGGACTGGATATTGTATTGTTCGGTGTCCCCTTGCCTGGGAAGGGCTGTCCATCCGGGTTGTGGCCTTCCGACCACTCTCACTTTCACGCTCGTCACAAGACGACAGGTGCTGGTGTTAGCGTTCCCAGTACTTTTCTGGTGGTTTCAGGCGCTGGTGTGCGCACACGATGTTGTGCAGGGAACAGCACAGCCATCCTGTGCCGCGTGTCGTACCTATGGCCAGGCCCTCCTTTGAAACCCTGACAATGGCAATCCCGGCGCTACGACATGCACGGCTTGGTTCAGCAATTCACAACGGCCGAGCGGTGCGCAAGGCCACGATGCCGCCCCACGCCGCCGCCACCGCTCCGTAACGGTCACCGCAGTAACGGCCAACGGCAATCCGCGCAGCGGCTTGCGGGCATCTCTCCAGCCGAGCGCAATGCATCTCCCGACCGATGGCGTCGATCGGGCCCAAAGAAGCGTCGACCGTACGCATACATATTGTGAGGTGCGGGGGTCCTCGCGGTGAGGGGCAGTTCGTGCCCCGAGGGGACTGCCCAGCGCTCGAGCCAGAAGTGGCCAAAGTGGGCGACGGCTGGGGCACAAGAGGAGCACATGAACTTGGGCCGCAAACTACTGGAGCCATAAAGTACAGCGCCAAAGTTGACGGGGCGCTTTTGGCAAGGCAGTGGGCACTTTTCTTTCACGGGCCTGTGTGGACCCCTGGCGGCCCATCCCTAATCCTAGCATCCCGCCCGTCTGGCCATCCGGTAGGAGTATTTGCGTTTTGGAGTGACCCGCCAAAAGTCCAATCACCCTAAACAGGGCGGATGGCCCAGTCCCAAAAGCAAGTCCGCACAAGAATTGCGCCACTTGGGGCCCCGATATCCTCGAGTAGGGCTGCCTTGAGGTCCAACCCCGCCATGGGCCCCACGTGGCCTCCCTCGCCCAGCGGAGCACAGCCTCTCGGGAAGGCAAGGCAGTCGCCGACCTCGGCCTGAATGCCCCCCGACACCAAAAGCGAGTGGGCCTTCCTTTTCGCAGAAGTAGCTCGCTTTGCCAGTGTGCCCTCTGCCCCTCCTTGGGCTCCAGGGTGTGCCCCCTTGCGGGCTGTTCCACGATGTGCGCGTCTGTCTCGCCAGGCCTCATGCATGTCTGGCTTCTGATTGGCTTGGCTCCCGGCCGCCTGATGTCTCTTCTCCTGCCCTCAAGTCGCGACGGGTATGTGACGTTTCGTTGCGCCGCCATGTGCGCACGCAAGCGGCATCAACGCCGTTTCCCACGCGTCGATGTGTTACCGTTTCGCAGATGGCTATTCCCAAGTGTGGCGCAGGGAATTGAGTAGTATTGAAATCTTCTTTGATTTCTGGCCGGCCTGTCACCTGACGGCCTGATTGCGCTCCCGTTTCTCTCCAGGAGCGACAGGCAGGGTCCATTTTGGTGACTGCAAACTGAAAAGTGGCTGCTTTTGCATTTCCAGCAAGTGCCCCAGGGAATATAGCAGAACAGTTTGTAAAGTGTTTTCGTGGCGATGCCTTCACTCCCTGCATTACCTTTAGGATAAAGTTGGCATCAAATTGTGTTTCACTCACATCTGGTCAGCCTCTCATTCAGAAGTCAGCACACTGGAAGCCAACCGTCAAGTGAGAGGCAATTTCCCTTTTGCAAGGAACAGGAAATGGTGAGCAGTGGTGGATCGCAGCCATCCTCTCTACCGTCCTGTTGTGGTGACCCTTGGCCTATTGTGGAGACTTGAATTGCTGTCATCATTGTGACTACCATTAGCAGTGATAAGCTGAGCACTTGTCCGATGTTTGGCCGAAATGCAATGCGCAGCAGTGCTGAATGTGGTCACACATTCAGGATGATGGCCCCCATCGCACGGAGTTGTGATGGTCACCTGTTGTTGGCAGCCATCTGTGCTGATTTGGGGGACACACCAAGTGAAAACATGTCAGTGAGGACTTGGCTGCTGTCTTCATTGTATGTGCATTTCCATATGCATTCCACCAGATCTCTGCAGGAAGACACAATGACCCATGTATGGACTTTCCTGAAAGCACTGTGCCTGTTTGGACCACAACTTGCGGAGTGGAACAGGGGGATCACTTGTAAAAAAGGCAGATATAAGAAGTGTGGTAGGGGACTGGACTTGTATTTTGGCTGTCAGAATGATAGTGAATGTGTGGTGGACAAAATGTGTGGAACACTGGTGCTGATTGTTGTAAAATTGGATAGGGGCAGTATAAAACAGAGATGGTAATGTGAGAATGAAGGTGATATGTATCAGCACGGGTAACTCAAGACACAACATCACAGGCAAAGTCTGGACGATAGTCCATGTAGGTCCTTTGGTGACATTTCTGGTAAACTCTAACGGTTGCCTATTCTCACAGCATCACTTGGCTGTCAGAATGATAGTGAATGTGTGGTGGACAAAATGTGTGGAACACTGGTGCTGATTGTTGTAAAATTGGATAGGGGCAGTATAAAACAGAGATGGTAATGTGAGAATGAAGGTGATATGTATCAGCACGGGTAACTCAAGACACAACATCACAGGCAAAGTCTGGACGATAGTCCATGTAGGTCCTTTGGTGACATTTCTGGTAAACTCTAACGGTTGCCTATTCTCACAGCGTCACTTGTCTATCACAAAGGCGCCTTGTTCTGAGGTGGTGAAGTGTTAACAAAGACTACCACAAGAAACGAGCTGGAGGAGACAATGGACCGAACAATGCAAAAGGCTTTTGAACTGGTGTGAGCGCATGCTGCCACGAGTCTTAGCACTCCAAGCTGCCAGTGGGGGGTCTGAGCTTCTGCCAGACGCTGTCCGAGCGATTACTAATGAAACGTCATTATCTGGTCCTACTTTTGACAAACACCTTGTAGTTGGCGAGCTCTTCGGCAGCAATTTTGGTTCCCTTGTGTCCTCTGCTCTTGAATGCGAGCCACATCACTGAGGATGGGATCTCTGCCTATACAGATTTTAGGCAGTACCTTTCAGTTGATTCTATTGCCAATGCTGCCAACTGGTGTCCTCGCTTTTAGCAACGCTGATCGCCTTCCCACGTACGGTTTGTGACCTGGTCCATGGTCTATGTGTCACCCTGTAGGTCGCCTTGCGCCATTATATATACACTAACCCATTCAGTTGAGTTGCAGCATCGCCAACGGTGAATTTGACTTCTGATATGTTCAGTTCACACCCTGATAATTCTGTTCCATTTTCTTCGTTGCCAATGCATTGATTTTTCGCACATTTGCTTAAGGTACCCACGCTGGCACAAATTCTGCTGTTGTTTCATTCATATGCGCTGGAGTCAGCGTCTGGGACTCTGTAGCCTGTGACGTCATCACGCGTGAGATACCACGGTGCAGTTTGCAATCGTGCCAGACAGAAAGACGCCATGTCCTTCCAGGTGTGTGCAATCCCTCAGGAATTGGAACAACACGCAAATTTATACGCTGCCGCCCTGGCAGCGCGTTTATTACAACAAAGGGACCCATTGTCCAGGTGCCACACTGGACGACCTCGAAGCACCGCTTCACAACATCTCTTCCAGCACTTCACCTTCGCCAGGTCATTGATTTTGCGCTCGGATGACAAGCACAACGCACAAAACCCTGCGCACCCTTGCGGACGAAGGCGGAAGGCTACTGTGAGAATACCTGCTCAACGGTGTTCCAGCCATATCTGCTTCCATACTCACATTGCACGTCGTCCATCCGACTTGCCAAGAGCGATGCCAGCCACAATGGACACTACCATGATGGATGCCGCTGGTAAGACCGGCATGCTGACTCTTTGCATCTGCTCAGCCATCTTGCAATGTCCTTCCCGTAGAGCGTCAATGTGAAGATCGCCTGGAGTCTGACAGGTCCCACTTCTGGACACTTCCCAGTGATCAATTCCCACAAATGCGCATTGCAGACCTCATCCCTGGTGCCGCTGTCGGACAGCGCCACTGAGGGTACTCGTTCACCCTAGTTCCTCAGGCCATTCAAGACATTTACCACATCTTCCATCGATGGTCTGCTTGAAGGGTCCTCAGAACGGCATTGCCGCATCAGCGACCGTAGATTCTCTGGGCAGTTTCGGGGAATAGAGCAAGGGGATTTTCCCCTTGACTTCATCTTCCATATATGGACCTCCGTCGATCCATTGTGATAAGGAAGAGACCCGGCCAGTACCTCATTGATGACAAGCCCGAAGCTAAAAACGTCGCTTGCAGCGCTATGGGCTTTCCCGTCATCAATCTCCGGGGCCAGGTACCTGGTTGTCCCCGGCTGTGGTCTACATGTGGTCTTCATCCAACTCTCCCGTTGTTTCGTGGCTATGCCGAAATCGGACAGTTGAACTGAAAGCTGCCCATCACCAACATTTTTAAACACAAGAAAATTGCGAGGCTTGATGTCACAGTGAACCAAGCTTTTGTCGTGCACTTGACGGAGTCCTAGTGCCGCTTGATACAGCATAGCAATCTTCGAATGACAAATACCAGCTTGCTCTTCCTTGTACCACCATTCTAAATCGCCATCGGCCAAGGGCATGACTAGAGTTCCATACTTGGTGATTGCCAAGATCTTGGCAACGTGTGGGTGTTGAATACGAGCCTGCAAAATCACTTCTGAATAAAACTGCGCCAAGTTTTCCATGGACACATCTTTGTTGTCTTTTTCCTTTCTTTTCTTTACCGCAACAGGCTGCCCTCTGAAAACACCTTCCCACACAGTATTCTTATGGGTGTCTCCCAATTGTGTCCCGGCGAACAAAATCTCGTCATCTGCCACTACTAAACCGTGGATTGCATCACCAATTGTCTCTTTCAGGCTTCTCCACTCTCCCACATGCTCGGCAAGAGGCAAAGATGACTCGCCGATAGAAGAACCATCAACAGCGACATCAAGCAAGTATGCTAAGTGCAAATCCAAAAACTGCCTGTCTTCAGATAAAATGTCCGCGGGTATTGTAGTGACAACAGTAGGAGCCTCAAGCCCACACGCAAGCATGTGGTCATGAAGATTGTAGCACAGGCGTTCCATTATTTCTTTCACTTCCTCCACCAGGTATAGACTTGTGAAAGCTTGGAGATCCATACTGCTAGAAAGTTTGGAAACCAGTCTGTCGCACTTCTGCAAAATTCTCCAGAGCTCTGCCTCATGTAGAACTTTGGGATACTGAATTTTTCTAATCTGATCCTTCAAGAACTGTGCCATTGATCTGCAATACCTGGCCCGGGGCACCAAATCCAATATCTTGTAGATCGTGGCATGCACAGATGGCTCCTGCTCAACACAAAACTGACAACCCTCAGCATGACTTTTTCCGTTTCAGGACATAGCACACAATCTTCGGAACTAAGGTTCAGTCCATCGCCTTGCCATCGCCACTATTGGCAAGACTTGGCAATGGGACCAGGCATGTAGAAGGCAACGTATTCATTTAGAATACCCGGATACATGGGAGCCAACTCCGTGGCCTGTCGACCGGCGATGGCACCAGGATATTGTCAAAACATGCTATCTACATATTGGTGGCAAATGCGCTGCAGACACCGCAGGGAAACAGCAAGAAGTGTAATTTCAATTTGAGCAGATTCATAACCACAGGTATCGATTCTTTAATAAAACTACCGAGGATGGCCGCGCGCTCCAGGCGACAATCGACACATTCGTCTCACACAGAATCCACAAAACTTCTGCATCAACATCCCACAATATCTTAAAGATAAGCACACATGTGCAGTGGCTCAAAGTTTAGTATTTCGTTGCAGCAGTGCTGCATAAAAATTTGAAATGTGGACCCCATGGAGAGCCCTGGTACGGACACATACAGATCTATGTGTCACCACCGAATCGTGGTGGCAAAGTTACCAGTGGTTGCAAAAGGAGCAATACCGTATTCGGCCTCAAAACTGCGTCAAAATGGCAAGCACTACTGCATCGCGGTCAACTTTCATCCTATGCTGCGCTGTATCTCTTTCCGCTCCTGATTATCTAGTGGATGGGAATGCAAAAACATGTCGCAGGGCAGCGCGGGAGACGAGGCGTTTGCGGGCGAAGTCGACATTCACTGTCGCTAGGTGTTGGCCAGATCAGGTCAACCGCCTTTCCTGCATGGGCCTTCGTTTAGCCATGTCCACGATCTCCATAAACATTTGCTCTTTTTGCGACCCGATTCGATCTAACGGTAAGGTTGCCCCTCCAAGCCCATTCCTCGAGACCGTCGTTACATGGAGATCGCCGCAAGCGACCTCCTGTGCACACGCTGGTGTCTTCGAGGCCGCCAGTTGGACATTGCCAAACACGGGAGGCTGCCGCAACTAACATACTTCCTTACAAAATTAAGTAAGAAACAAAACTGCATTTGACGACAGAACGCCTAATCGAGCTGCTGCGGCTTGCATTCTGCCTGAACCGTGCGCGTGAGGGGATGGTGGTCCTGACAATTCATGGTGGTCCATTTCGTGTTGAGGGATGGTGGTCCTGACAATGCATATTGGGCACCTCCAAGAGGAGGTATCAACCCAATGGGATGGTGGTCCATTTCGTGTTGAGGGGATGGTGGTCCTGACAATGCATATTGGGCACCTCCAAGGGGAGGTATCAAGCAGCCCTTCCAACAGCGGAATGCGCCAACTACCATGGGCACCGCTGCGTTGTGTTGAGCGAGAACAGAATGCATCCCTATGTATCCTGTCGTTAAAAACTGCCTCTTTTCGTGTTACCCTGTAATAAAAGGAGGTGAGATGGGCGCTTTCAAGGTCTCATTTGGTCGTTGATCCAAGGTTTCATTCGATAACAATGGGTATTTCATTGTTTTCCCTGAAATGGGCGACGTAGTCGGCTTACTCGCGAAAGCGCTAGGCCTTGTGCTGTGTGCAACGCCACTGCGCCAACCGCTGAACTGATAATAAGGAAGCAACAAAAGATTCCAATCACATGAGAAAGGCAAACGGTCCAGTGTGAGTCGCAATGAATGGACAGGTGTCTTGGCTTACCATATTAAAATCTCTTCTATCTCCAAAGTGCTGCAGTCCCTGCCTTTTCGCAGCTGTACAGAAAAGCGGGCAGAGCGAGCGCACTTGGCGCAAGAATGAGGCACCATGCGCCCGATACCTATTTCGTCGAAAATAGTCTGTCGCACTGCGCTGTTGCTTCTTCTGCATGGAAAGAAGGCGCACAATATGTTAAGCAGAATTTCACGTGCAAGGAATTGCGAAGCTAAAATTTGTGTGATGTAAGGGCAGGAATTGACCAAAAAAGGGTAATTTAGAGCTTGCATTCCCTGTGGATGCCCTCGGATGGTCAGTTTCGGCCTTGCGCATGGGAAATATCACTGGGAATTCATTTCGCTTCCCACTTGCAAGTGAGCAGCCCAAAACATTGTTCATCCTGTTGACAAGTCCAGGCCTAGTGCGCGCATTTTTGCGCATATGTATGTTTATATATTTGCACGTGTCTAAATGCAAATGCAAGCCAGCCGATCATATAAAATAGCACATATACCCACTTCTACGATAAGTCAAAGCGATTGTGCACCACATTGGCAATGCTATAGGAAGCGACTTGCACCTGCATGGCATGGCGAGTTAAGGCAGAGGGCAAGCAACCCGGTTGACCAATGCAGGCGCTAGCCATGCACATTCAGCGCATTTGCTCGTGCAGAAATCGAGTAGCTGCAGAACGCGCTTAAACACGCGGTTCACAAAACACACGTGCAACCGGTTGATGACAAGTGTAGGTAGGCCCAATTGTGCCAACAGGGGCAATCCCACGCCCGCTGATGGAGTGTGTTTAATGACGGCGCCAACCAGGGAGTTTCCTGTGAGCCTGTGTCGGCCAATCCAAACCTGTACGAGTCTACGGTGAAATGGTAGATGCGTCTGTACATGCGAGTCTCAATGTGTATGTTGCAGCTATCCTTTGGACAGAGGGGGAAATGGGCACACAATTCGTAGCCGCTAACGGGATCCAGGTGTCGAGCGTCGCGTCTTTTGAGCTGCGACAAACAGCAATTTCCTTCTGAATGTGGATCCCTTTGCCCGTGCGGAAAGGAATTGCTAGAGTCAGTACGAGAAGACTATCGCACGGGAGCTACCGCTGGACACTTTGAAGTCCCTGGCATTGTTGATTACACTTCTGGCAACACCGAGGGGCTGGACGCAAACCAGGGTCTACGCCTCATCACAGGAGCGGTGCATAGTACCGATACTACGAATATCGGTACTATGCAAGGGGCACTATATATGGTACTAATATGATACTAATATTGTACTAATATATGGTACGGATATGGTACTAATATCGGCACTATTGCAAGGCAAAGCGTTCTGTCGCCAGCTCTCAACAGACAGAGCTACGCACCTGATGGGCTGGACTTGGCACCCGACAGACAGGGACACTAGCCTGCCGTGGCGGATTGCATACGCCCCTCAGAGTTGAGTAATTGCTTCCACTAGAAGACAAAACATTCATATCCTGCTCGTCTTGTGATGCATAAACCGAACGTGCTCGCTCGGACGTCTCAGAGCTAGTTGTGGACGTTGAACACTCGTCTTCTTCATCCCTTATTTCCTCATTTTTGTCCATTGCCACCAGGCGCGATTCAATCCCTGCATGTTATGCACCAGAAAGCAGGCTTAGCTATTTATTGCCACTGTAAAGGATTCATGCCTGTGGTCCGATGCGATGTGCATTGCGTGCGAAAACTTATTTAAGGGTTGGATGGTCCAACAACAGCGTTGTTGCTTGGCTGTGAACAGCTGAATTCAACGGAAAGTAGAGGAAAACATTGTAAGATGCAGCACGTTCCATTTCCTGACAACAATTTTTATTCCCAGGTCACGTTTCAAAGCCACGTTGGCTAAATGTTGAACATTCATTCCAGGGCCTGCACAAATCGGGCACCTGGGAGCATCGACTGTCACCAGTAGAAAACAGCCTGTTTGCGATGCCAATTGCGACGCCATTTGACAAAAATTGATGCCATCACAGGCACTTTTGTGCCATCGCAATCACTGTGACGGCATCATTTTGTGTCAAAATAACATCGCAGTTGGCATCGCAGACATGGTGTTTTCTACCAGTGTGTTCAACGTCAAGCCGTTTACTTTCAGCTCAGAGTTACTGTGAAGAGTATGTATGGAGTCGCTGTCAGCAGTGCCTATCTGACGCAGCCCTCACATAGAATGTAGATGAATCTGATGATACGCAAAAGGACATATCAAAACCGAAAGCGCGCTTGTTTCTTCCCAAAAGAAAACAAGTTATGCAACCTCCAAGTGGAGACCGTGTGTGACATAATGAAATTTGCACCTTGAGTTGCTAGTTTCAGCATTTCGCACGCCTCCGCTTGAGCTCTTCCTGATTTTGTCATCCGCCAGAATATTGTTGTGGATCCGAATCCACAGAAGCATTGCATAGCACGTGTGTCTATTTTCTTCAGCATTGTCGTGGCCCTGTGCAATTTCGGCTTTGCCTCCCTCACAGCCAAAAGTTTATCACATTCTGCTCCCTTGGACTCCTGCATCTTGACCACTGCACCCTGAAACTCCTCAACTCCACGAGCAATCATCTTCTTTCTATTTTGTTTGATGTTCGGATTTTTAGTCGCGTCCAGCACTACACCATCTGCCATATTTAGCAACTCTTTGATTGCATCCAAGGATGTCATGTGACGTTCGTTGGAGGATAAGATCAGCTCATTGATTCCTCCCACGGGAAGTGCCTGCAATGGAAGAGTTCGCAAAATGCGGAATCGGATATTGGAACCCAAAATGCACACCGTGAGGCTGTGAAGCACACCTCACCACTATTTGACAAACGCCATTGATATTTTGATGCTCACCTTGCAGTTATTTGGGAACATTGTTCCAGCCCCGCGCCAAACAGGAATTTAAGTAATGCTCTCATCCGTGTTGCATTTTCAGGTCGCCATGCACGGTCAGGTATCCTCAACGACCAAGCCACACCGATTTCGCAATCGGGACACGTGGTTAGTCACCAGCGCCACCCTCAAACAGCCATTGGTACTGCGCAAAACATGGGGGGAGCGCAACGCCCGTTTCTCCACAGGCAGGCGCAGACACGGATTGAGCTCTACGGGCCGCGGACATCGCAATGACGGAGGAGACGCAAAGGCGTTGCACGCCTGGGTAGGCGCCGTCTCTGGCGCACACACCTGAGTCCCCGTTTCCTTGACAGACGCCGAGCCTCGAGAGAGCTCCCGCTGCAGAACAACAGGCACAGCGACCGCGTCAGTCAAAACCGCGTCAAAGACATTCCCTTCGCCGTAGAGCGCCTCGACGCGCAGTGCCCCACCGGCTGGCGGGTAAAAATTTGCTTGGTGCGGCGACAGCGCCGCAATCAGTCTGGAAGTTCCCACGTCTGCACAACCACATACGATGTGACGTCCCAACAGTTCGGGCAGAATGCAGTTGGAGACGGAGACGTTAGCCACATCCAGCGATCACACTCGCCAGAGCCAATCGACCGCAGTGGCCAGTGCAGTCAGGTAGCAAAACTCAGGTGTTGCACGCCGGCGTGGCTCCCCAGCACAACGGACCAGCGGGCGGCAGAGCCGCCGAACTGCACATCGCCAAGCGGCCCCGCCTGGGGCAAGCCCCCGGGGCTGAGGCAATCAAGGCCTGCGCGACTGTCAATGCGGATTTCCGTCCAGCTCCGAAATAACCCGCGGCGCCCCGTGCGTGCCCGCGACGGGCGCTTACGCGCACCTCGTGGCCGCCTCCTGGTATGGCCTGATTTGCGCTGGACATCGGCGGACGCGAGAATCGCATCTGATTCTCAGCTCCACGTTCTTTTCCGGCGCGCTCGGGGACAGCGACAGGCGGGGCTCTTCTACCTGGCTCGGCAACGGGGAGGCAATAGCCTTACCTCTCTGGAACGAGGCAATAAGAGCGGTGTGTTGCGTCCCGGTCAGGGGCGCCCCTCTGGCGGGGGGGTCCCTTGCAATTCAGCCGGCATTCGTGTCGCAACCGGTCACTCATTGGGAAGGAGCTCCCGCAGTTAGACGCCGAGGGTTCCGGACTGGCTGGGCCTCAGTACTGCGGGCACCGGGGGTGATGACAAGCCATGTATTGTGCGCTTTCACGATAGCGAGAGGCTGAGAACGGCCAACGCGAGTCCATTGGGTAGCGACCCGCCGGATGCCCATGAATGCGCCTGGCGCAGGACGCCGGGATCACTTTTCGGCACCGGCGTGAGAACTTTTGCGCTGCCAGGTACGGCCGCTGGCCGGGGATGTGTTGTGCCGATGATCGTCATTAATCATTGCAATTCCTCCCGTTATTAGGTGCGTTGTGTTGCTATTTTGGACGAAAAACATAGGTCCACGATCCAGGCGGCCGAAGCTCCTGTATTTCACGAACACTGTAGTTCTTGAACTCAATGGGCTCTTCAGTGTTGTGGCCAGAGAACCGTCCACCACAGCCAGTCCCCATCGTCTCCCATGGCTGCCGATTTCCGCGACATGTCGTGGCAAGTTTTGGCGTGCCATGGCGACTTTCGATCGACTATTCAGGCAGCTTCCCTCCTTGACGCCCAGGTGCGCCCACACAGCGACACCTACACCACATTCTCTTGCACTTTACCGCCTATTGCGTTTTGTTTTTTGGTGTTGCAGAAAAATTGGACCTTCAGGCTTCACACCATTCTTGCCTTGCCACTGCAAGGCGGACATTGGAATTGCACATCGCACTGCGCAGCACGGAGCAGAACAGGTATTGTTCACCAGGCTCAAGTTGCACACCATCAGCACATTCGCCGTGTAGGTGTTATGCATTACCAACCCGAAGATTGGCAGTCCGGTCAAGCATGTGCATCGTAGCAGGGTCGCTCATTTGTTGTTACAGCTGTTCGTTCACCTTGCGTAGCTGCATTTGGAACTCATTGGGCGCTCATCCAACACACTCGAGTGCGTTGCACCAGCAAGCTTACCAGTGCCACGGTAACCACGGTGCGATGGCGAATCAACACCCATCTGTCACAAACACAATTGTGCTCACTTTGCATGTACCGGTGGCTTAGCATGCTTTTGTGGGATTCACTGCACTTAACAACAACAAAAGCACATTGGATCGGCACCACACATTGTACTGAATACCTGGCCAACATGTCACGTGCATTTTGCTGTGGAAAACTCCCAGGGTGGGCGATGTCAGAGCGAATGTGCAACTGGTGTAACCGGCAACTGGTATTATCAAGCCACTGGGAATAAAGCTCCAGGTAAACTACTGGGCATATGTGGCACTGTTCGTGCTGTTTAAGCTCTGGGCAAGGAATTGGCAGCACATTTGCCTGAAAAAGGGCTACTGGCAGTTTTGAAAAGCCAATTGAGCCGCTGTGTTTGCAAAATGGTGTAAAAATGTTATGATGTACATTAATACATGTACTGAATGGTTAGACGAAGCACAAAAGAAAAGAGATTACCACCCCTCTACTCGTGACCATTCTGTATTGTGCATTCTGCTCCAGGTTTTCCAGGCAAATGCCCAATGCAGAGCATGATCCGGTTTGGAGCACTTCAGGTTGGAAAGAATCATCTGCTGCAAAATTCCATGAACTGAAGAAGTTAAATATAATGGAAGACAGACACGCCTGTGTCACCCACATTTAAAAGGCAGGTGACACTTGAAGTCCTCACGTCATTGGCTTGTTGTAGACCAACAGACTGCCGGCTCTCTTAATCAGTACCATGCACATCCTCAACCCCAATCGTTGTGGATTCATTCGATTGACATGCAACACTATATGCTGTATGCATCTGGACAACATGTTCAGTATCAGTGCACATACAGTACACCATTTTGTGCTTCAGGGAGGACGTCCCTGCCTGAAATCTTTGAGTGAACACGTCATGACCCAGCACTGCCCTGGCATACTTGCAGTACATTGTTTATCCTGGATGAGTTTGCCCAGATGCACTGCAAGATGGGGAAGGTCTCCTGCTGACAGGAACCACAGCCACCACTGATTTTGACTGAAACGTGGATGCCGGTGTTAGAGTGGTAGAAAGCATGGTTCATTCTAGTGGATGACATGCTGGGGTCCTTGAGGAGTGTGCCCAACGCAACCATACTGTGCATGCTCACCTTTGTGCTGCCTTGCCGAAGAAGCTATCCCATTGCGTGCCGGCGATTGAGCCTGCCTGACTTCCATGTAATTTCCAACAAGATGCTCAGGTGCTGGTGTGTTTTCAACAGCACAGTGTTCCATGACTCAGCGCAATGCCCATATCCGGATCCTCTGTTAAGGCTCCTCACCACCTGTCAAGACTTCCTGCCTGTAAGCGTGATGCCATGAACAACCTGAATGCCTTGCCTGCAGTGGTGATGGGCCCACAGTGGTCATGGCACTTGCCTGGGGACTCTTGAACCACTCAACTCGCTGCTGGGGGCCTGAAGGGCTGGAAAGCGAGCGTAACCACCCCACCAAACCCACCATTGGATTCGGCTCAATCCATGTGCAGCCACCCAGCATACCCGGGGTTGTTCATCTTCTTGCAATCGGCCTCTAAGCCCCCTCCAGCGTGCAGGTTGCCACGTGATACGCGCCAGTCACGCTGCCCCACACGTAAATTTACACACGATTGACCCCAGGGCCAAACGGCGGCAGGACGCAATCGGCCAAGCCGTGCCAAACGGCCCGCACCGGCCACCAACTCCACAGAGGAAGTGGCTCATCTCAAGGTCGTGAAAAGATGGCCGTGGATCCAATTCAGCGGGCGGGACTGACGGCGAGCTCAACGGGTGTCAAGGGCGCGTGGGCTTGACACCGCGATGCCCTGCCGCGCCCCCATCTCTCTCCGTGACGGCCGCGCACGCAGCGGTGACGGCAACCCGGGCAGCGGCTCCACGGGAGGGGCGGGGACGGCCATCCCCCCTCCTCGACAGCGTCTCTCCCAAAATGGGGCAGTGGCCGGTTTAAAAAAGGGTTTAAAATAAAAAACGACAAGAAAAGGAAAAAAACACGCTCGTCGCCAGGAGGTGGGGGCTGCTCGTGGAATGGTCCCCAAGGTCCAGTGCCCACAACAGCGCGCAGCGCCCCGAGGGGAAATGCACTTTTCACGCTCCAACCGGAACGCTGCAGGTCTCATTGTTCCTCACGAGTTTAGGACCGGCTTGGCAACGAATCCAGTCCGTTGATACAAAGTGAGATCGCTCCATACCGCCAGCCACACAGTTCGGCAACGTCCTTCTCTCCTCCTGTGCACCGCGCGCGTTCCGCTTCTGTTCGGCTCCCGCCTACCCGCCCCGCCACGGTCTACGGGTCTCTCGGCTCGCGGCTTGAGTCGAGACCTTTCGCCGGCCACACAAGAGGCCATCCCGGTGCCCATTCTGCGTGTGACGACCTCCGCAAGGCCGCGCGGCGCTCCGAGCAGTTGCTGGAAGCACATCCAAGGGTGCCGGGATCGGCAGCCCCGCAGTGGCGCCGTCGAATTCGCGCCTTCTGTGAATGAGCCTGCCGGCGCTGCGAGAGGTGAGATTCGACTCTTTCTCTGCGGCGTCCTGGCATTTGCGTGGATCGCGTTCTGCAGCGTGTCGGTGTCCGTGGGCGGCGTCGTCCGGAAGGAGGTCCCGGCCTCCCATTGGCCGGAAGGCGCGGATGGCAGCATTTAGAGACGCCAGTTCTATCGCTGAGTTGCGCCGGGATTGG